CCCCCCCCACAAGGTAGGCAATGTTATATTGTAACATCAGAAGGTACAAGAATCCAATCATATAAAAATTTAAGATCTAATACAGTTGCGAATAAAGCTGTGTATCTTACAAAAAACAACAACACCCCAACTCAACAAACCCCTAGAATATGGAACGTTTTACACAACCATCTTCCAAAATGCTCATCCTTGTAGCGAAACTTCGTCTTTATTTGAACAGGACAGGGAAAAGAATTTGAATTTGTGGGGAAGTAAAACTCCAAAAGACCACATAATCTATAGATACCTGGATACGTGGAGGTGTCATCTCTGACTCAGTGGTTAACGTGTAATGACCTTCCATCCTTCAGGGTCGCGAACTGCCGTTGCCCATTCTGCCATAAACAGGCTATAGACTACACCACTGAATATCCACTATATTCAGCACCCCTCCCCCCTTCCATCCCCAACCTCTTTCTCTTTCTTTAAAAAAGGTTAACTAATATTACTCTATCCCTTCGGTAACCGTGATATTTGGGGTAAAAGTCTACTTGAACACCCCCCCCCCTCCCCAGCTTCATGACAACCATCACGTGGGTCCACAGTGAGTGGAGACCCCGGATATACAAAGTAGGTCAAGTAAGTTTCGAATGGAGGTCTGAAGTAGACTTTTACCACATTTGGTTTTGAGGGACTTCACCTTTACCTTCACCTATCCCGTAGACTGGATGTTCGTCGGGGCGTTTTTGAAGATTTGGCTAGCAGGTTCCTCCACTCCTTCCGGTATTCAGCTTTTCTGAGCGTATCTTTGAATTCAAGCCTCTGCCCCTTTTTTCTCTGGACGCTGCCTTACAGGATTATCTTGGCAAAACCAGATGAACAGGTATTGTGTCCATACCCTTGCAATTTGCGTTTCTTGACCAGAGTTATAAGGTTAGCATACGGTAATATTTCATTTTTGATCCCTTGTTTGACTTCATCATTTGTGATGTGATCTTTGTATGAGATACGAGTACCAAGAATTTTCTGAAGCATCTCATATCCACAGCTTTGATCCTTCTTTCAAGGTCTGCATTCAAGGTCCAGGGTTCACATGCATATGAAAACACTGACATGACCAGGTAACGCATCAGTCTAATATTTGATCCGATTGGGATATTTCTGTAGTTCCTGATGGTTTTCAACTTGGTCATTGCTGCTGAAGATTATTTCTGCTTTTGATCCATCGTCTGTCACTATTGAACCCAGGTACTTGAAGCTGCGTACGGTCTCAAGCCTCTGGTTGTTGATCTGGATGCCCACTGTGATGTTCTTGTTGCTGTTAGACATCAGTTTGGTCTTCTCAGCGCTGATTTTCATGCTGTAGGCTGTGGAGGTCTTTTCAAGACGGTCTATTAAGCTGACTAGTTCTTTACTCTTGTCCCGCAAGGCCGTCTATGTCGTCTGAAAAACGTACGTTATTAATCATTTGGCCCTCCATACTGAATGCTCCTTTGTGATCTTCAAGTGCATTGGTCATTATCCTCTCCAAGAAAATGTTGAAAAGAGTGAGTGAGAGCAGACAACCATGGCGTACTCCCACAGTTGTTTGGAACCATTCACCAGTGTTGTTGTTGAAAATGACTGCGCTCGTAGCTTTGCTGTTTAGCTTTTCTATGACTTTGATCAGGTTGGCCTTGGTGTTGTATGAGTTCATGGTTGCCCACAAAGCTTCCTGCCAAACTCTGTCAAAAGCTTTTGTTAAGTCCACTAGTACGGGGTGAAGCTCCTGTCGGTTTTGGGGGTACTTTTCCATGATGATTCTCAGGTCAAATATTTGTTCAGTTGCGCTGCGCCCTGTGCTGAAGCATGTCTGTTCTTCTGCTATCATGTTCTCTGCTTGTGGCTTCAGTCCGTTGAGAATGGTTTTAAGCATTACTCTACTAGGAGGGCTAATCAGGCTAATAGTGCGATAGTTTTGGCATTGTTGAAGATCGCCTTTCTTGGGAAGGGTGATGATCAAATATTGGGTCATTGCTGAGGACCATTCGCCTGTCTGCCAGATCTTGTAGCAGATTATCCATAACATGTCTATCACCACGTCTCCACCTGCTTGAACTATTTCTGCCGATTTTCAGCTGATTTCCTTTTCTTCAGTGATGAGACTGCTGCTACCCTCTCTTCTCTTAAGATACTAACTTAAGAGAGTGACTTATGCGTGTTTTATTTTTTTTAAAAAAAGCATTCCTCTGGCAATCAAATTTTAATCAAACATGTCCAAGACGACCACACAGTGCTGAAGAGAAAAGTGTTTATCTTAAAAATGTGGTCCTTGTGAACATTGTCATTATGATACAGAAGAAAAACGCATGGGGAAAAAGGGGAGTTGTTGTTTGTTCGATGATTATCTTCGACAGTTGTTCTTTAGAGCAGGTTCGATTGTAATTGTCTTTCATACAGTCTTTTCTTTAACATTATTTTCGTTCCTTTCAGCCAAGCCTAGCCCTCCAGTCTGTGAGAATCCTCAGCTGTCTCCAAACCAGAAAAGCCTCTCTGTGACGTGTGACGTAGCTGAGGTGTTTCCTGAAGCGACATGTAATTTCGACATCCTTTCTGGGGTAGGTGCTGTCTTTGCAATCGCCTTCAGCATAATACTTATTGTATCTCGCTCCGTGTACGCTTGTCTGGTACAACTTGTTTTTGTTTCGTTTGTTTTGTCTCCAACTGTTTCTTTTATGCCATTTTTGGGTGGTGTTTGGGTTTGACCCTCAATTGTACATTAGTTGATCATTTCAAGAAGAGGAGGAGGGGGAGGAGGAGGAGGAGGAGGAGGAGGAGGAGGAGGAGAATAGTAATTAAATTAATGATAAAGACCACTTTATAGAGCACACCTTCTGGTTTTCTATAGTCGTTTAAAAAGATTTAAATCAATGTTTCATGCATACTGGCCATTTTTTTTCAAATACGTATACATCGTAATCTAACAAAGAATACATGCACAAAAAGACAATCCATGTGGATGCATTTGGGCCATCCAGATCTGTGGTAAGCTTATGCCCCTTTCCATTACTAATTTCTTTTGAATCTTGGGACGCACTTCTGTTTTAAATCTTTAACGACTCAACTGCCGTGTCTTGGGACCGGAACATCAATGTGACATTACCTTTTGGGACTTTTTTCAGAATATCACCTTCACGGTCACATCTCCTGGTGTTCACCAAGCGTTTAACAACTCTGCAGGCGCAACCAGCTATTCTCTGACATGTGTGCTCAATATCAATTTGAGAGAGCTAGGGACTGGCTCGCATCGGTTCAGAGTTGAGGTCATCCCAGATTTAGCTGACGTCAAACTGTACCCAGAACCGTATAGCTCAAAGAGCGCGTTCACAGGCCCTGTTACTCTCAGTGAGTCATACTAGTCTAAACCCTTTAAAAAAAAAAGAATTATTATTGTTGTTGTTTCGTTGCTTGTTTTATTTCTTTGGGTAAAAAAACCGTAATTCTTTTATTTATTTTTTTGGGAGGGGGGTGGGGGGCTGATAACGTTTACTTATTCGGGGGTGGAAATGGTGTGGTGTATAATGTGTTTGTAAACATTATATTTATAAAGTTTTCAAAGCGACTGTCGTGATTAGTAAAGCATAACATGTTTAACGTTATTCCAGAAGAAAGAAGATAGTTCCGAGCAAGCTCCGTCAGAATTTGATCTTTTCGGGCTCCTAAAACGATATCGACCATGTCAAAGCTTCACAAAATATATAATAATAAGTAGATTTCGTCAGCGCTCACTCCCCAGTTGAGCTCTTTGTGCTTTACACCAATAATGAATTGATCATTCAAGAGACATTCGAGCTCTTAAAACTATTCATATTCATCTTAACACACACATTAACACACACACACACACACACACCCACACACACACACACATACACACACACCCCCACCC